CCCAAGTCCCGGCTCCCTGAACTGTCAATCCTTTGCAGTTTTGGACCCTAAATATTCAGGGTTATATATAGGGCCTCCCTGAGCACTACACGGAGCCGTAAGATTATCTACTAATTGCTTAAGAGCCCCCAGAAAGTAAAAACAATTCTTCCTTATTAAGGGTAATCTGGGGACTAGGGATTATTATCTTTGTTTTTGCTCTTTTGGGTTTCTTAAGCAAATAGTAGTTATTGAGGTATGTAGGAGGTCACGTTGCCCTGTAGAATACTCCAACTCGCATCTGAAGGACGGCGTGACCTTCGAGCCTGGCTCAGCACATCCCCTAATAGGGTTTAGGGTTTATTTAGGGTTTAGGAGTCCCTATATAGGAGGTACTTCAGGCCCAAGTACTATTTAGGTACATGGACCCTCAGGGCTTCTAGCCTGGCTCAGGAGACTCGCGAGGAGAGTTCATCGCATCACATCACAGCAGGCGATGTGACCCGTTGTTGCTTGTCATGCACGGCCGCTGGTGAGCTGACATCAGCGTTATGTCTGACCCAATTTGCGAAGTCCTTCTCGCGATGACACAGATTCCGCCAACCGATTTCGTCAACACATCTTTGCCCGAGAAACTCCGACAATGTCCGGCCGAGAAATACGGCCGGGCCTGCTTCAGTGTTTGTGCATGTGCGCTCACGGCACAAATGCTCGCAAAGAGAGTTAATCGCATGACATCACGGCAGGCAACAGGAAGCCGATGCGCATGGCTGTTTCGGACCGCCACACTCGTGTGACGCGTGCGTCAACACTCAAGCAAGTTCGAGCACTCAGCATGCCAGACAACACTCATCGTCCATTTTGGCAGGACAGGCCCCCGGTATGCTCCTACAGCCAACCCGCCGAGAAAATGTGGCCATGCTCTGCAGGTTTTTGTGTTACTATACTCCCCTTAGAACCTTAATAAAAATAATATGTTTAATATCCTCTTGGGATTTAAATGAACAAAAACAAATAATTCCCAAGGGGGATACAGGTTATACTTGCAGTAGGGAACATCTTCTCGAATTCACCTCAAGTGAATCGCAACGCAAGCCGGAAGCGAAACAAGGAACCCTAAACCCTAAACCCTAATGCCAAAACCACCACTTGGTAATCTTTATCTTGTGCCCTGGAAGCGCGCTTCAGGTTGTCCAGCTGCGCCCCAATAAAGTGCACAGCTGCGGGGCTGCAGGGCTTGACTTAGGGTTTAGGGTTTTTAGGGGTAAGGGTTTAGGGTTTAGGGTTTAGGGTGTAGGGTGTAGGGTTTAGGGTTTAGGGTTTAGGGTTTAGGGTTTAGGCACAGTTGCAACTATTGACACGAGCCAGTTCGATCGTTCCCTCCATCCTGGACAGTTTGAAAGGCCAGAACAAACGATGTCAGATGCGAAGCCTCACGACTGGCCTGAACAAGTCGGATCACATGTCAGTGCTGAGGGGCTGTTCCTTCTGGGCCGGTTCGACAGGAAGTCGTCATCAGTAGTGCTCCACCTCTCCTCGGATCACTGGTGCTGCTGTCAAATCTAGTCGGTCGTACAACAGCCGAACTCTTGGATCTTAACTGATGAGGCCTTCCAGAACACGAGTTCGATCTATGCTGGGACGGAGTCTCAAGCTACTGAAGCTCATATGAAATCAATCCTCACGCGCAAGACGGGTCCAGATAGCAACCCCAGCAACTCTGCGAGGCTTTTCTGCCCAAGCTGCATCAGGCGACGGCTGAGAGAGCCACGCCTGTGCACTGAAAGGGGAGTTGCTGAACGTCGAATGTTTCGAACTTCGTCCACAGCTCACTCGCGAAGGACCAGTTCTAGCACAGCTTCCGCGGATCTCGCGCTTTTATTTCATGACCCTAAGCCGTAAACCTGACAAAGAAATGCTTGAGATGGCGCTTGCTCAGATGAAAGTTCCCAGCCCTTCCAGGCATCCCGAGGCGCGGGGGGGGGGGGGGGGGGGGGGGTGGTCTAGACTGTATGCATGTGAATATATATATATATATATACATATATATATATACACACATACATATATATATGTATCAAATATTATATATACATATGTATACATGTTATACAAGGGATTCAAAGTTTGGGTTCTGCATGCTGGAAGCCAGCGATTAAGATTTCTCTTGCTTCCTCTAGCCGTTGCTGTCGGTCGTACATCCTCCTGCAACAGCGTGCATCTTGAGCCAGCCGCGATGCAGATGCACCACACGTGAAAGATACATGACATGCAAAGGGGTTTCATAGTTGGGCTCAGGAAGGGCAGTGGCCTCCCTTCCACTGAGCAAGGCCGAGATCAGCAGCAGGAGAAAGGCCAGAAAGTCGAGGTAGACGGCCTCCCCGCAGTGATTTTTGTGCAGACTGGAACGGGGACGTTTCATGTTGCACTGGCGCCATGGACGACACTACATGATGACGGGTACGGGTACACTGTCCCCTCAACCACATGTCACCACACACCCAACATGCGTCGCATGCCCTACTTGCTGCCAGGTCCAGCGCCATGCCTCCCCGAGAAAGCGCGAGGGCCCAGCATCTTCCAAGAAGGCCAGCAGTATGGTCACTTGAGCCATGATCCTGGGATGGGTCATAGCTTGTCGAATCGGAAGTCGTAAGCCTTCTCCCACCAAAAAGACTAATTAGTCTCCATGAAAAGGGCTGTGTAAAGTTCGGGTCTGTAGGGAGCATGTGGTCGGTCATGAAGGCTTGTCAGCAAACCGCATGCCCCTTCTCTGAGGCTACTATAGGTTCCCTGGGAAACCAGAACCCTAAAGCCTCAATCCTGATTTTGTGGTCTGTGCAGAATGGGACTCCTAAAAGAAGCGAATAAGATACCACTGAGTGTCCTACTTAGAGGTTCATGGGTAGTTGTAAGTGGTGGTCTACGTAGGGTAAGAATAATTGCAACTGGTTAGAAGTTCTAACCTTATTTAGGGTACTCATACCCCTACTTATAACTACCCATGAGCCTTCAAGTACAGGACGCATGCCTGAATCAAGGAGGCATCGACGTACTGAGTGCTGTTGGCAGAACATCCCTGAACGCACAGCCGCAAGCGTTCTGCCGACCTTAATCCCTACTGAAAACCTAAACCCTAAACCACAAACCCTAGATTAAACCCAAAGCTACCCCCTAAACCCTAAACCCTAAACCCTAAAACCTTCTAAACCTTCTAAACCCTAAACCCTACACCCTACACCCTAAACCGGTTTTGGCAACCCCGCAAGTTCGAGGTCACTGCAGCCAGGATTCAGCGCCACCCCCTGCCCGTCAGGAGCGATCGTGGGAAGAGGGGGGGGGGGGGGGGGGTGGAGATTCGGGGGTTCAGTTAAGGACTTCACGTTAGAGGTTTAGATAGGTTTGGAGTTGAACTAGGTGGTTGGGGGTTCAATAGGCTCTTGGGGTTCAGGCGTTCAGGGTTTCGGGTGCAGCTACAGCCCCCAAGAGGCCCACATGCAGCCGGGGTGTCCTACCCAGAACCCATTTTTTTGGACCTACCGAACTCTGTTTAGGGTTTAGGGTTTAGGGTTAGCTAGGTTAGTATGCAAGAACGTGAGGTGCCTTTAGGTTCTGGGGATATGTTGTTGTTTCAATGTTGTCTGCTGGTGGTGGAGTGGGGTAATAGCAGTTTACAGTAGGATGTAGCGCCCTTGGTTCAACCCGCAGCTGCTAAGTGGATTCACCCACTCTGCGAAGCAGTCCTGTTTCAAGCCCCAGACACATAAAACCTTCTGGAGGCCCTACACCCTGAGCCCTAAACCTAAACCAAAAGCCAAAGAGAAACTATTGAAATCTGTGAACCATAACCTAAACCAAAAACCAAAGAGAAACTGTTGAAAGTTGCAACTGGGAGTTCAAAAGGCGGTAGTCACAAGGTCGGTAGAGACTTCTACTCAGCAACCTGAGCCCTTGGCATCACATACAAGTTGAGACAGCAAAACCGCCCCGGCACTCCTCAACCCGAAAGCGCACCGCCCATGCAAATGTGAGTTACTAAACCCTAAACCCTAAACCCCAAACCCCTAAACCCTAAACTGTTCCTGCGCGGAGGCGGCCTTCGGGCGGAGGCGGAGATGCTTCGTGCTGTCAAAGATCTATGCAGCAGCTTCGGGTCTAGCGCCCTAAACCCTAAACCCCAAAACCTAAACCCTAAACCCTAAACCCTCCCGGCGCCTGCCCGAACCAGGTCAGTAGGCGCACTGAGGGCAGCGAAATCTTCACCTGCGGCCGGAAACCCTAAACCCCAAACCCTAAACCCCAAACCCCAAACCCTAAACCCTAAAGCCTCCTAGGATGGCACTTAAAAACCTCAGAAATAATATTCCTGAATATGATCCTCTTCAACCCAACAAGGGGAAAATTTATGAAATGTCCCAAGGGCCTACCTAGTCTCTGAGAGTCTCGTGGAGACGAAGGCTTCTTTTGTTAGAGCTTTGAAGCCGTCGCCTCCGGCTTCGGGTCTGGAATAAGATTCAGGAACCCGAAAAATCATCTCACAAAGGAGTCATGGGCTACCTTTTGGGACTTCAGTTCTTATTTTGAGAAAGGCGCAAGTTCTAAGGAAGTTCGGACATGCATAGGGTCCCTGAGATTATCGTTAACCTACGGCGATGTCCTTCCTCACCTCTCGCGTGGAAGCATCTTCCCAGTCCAGGGGGGCAAAGGCATCTGGTTTAAACGATCACCGAACTCTATCACCATTGAATCACAAACCCAGCGTCTCTCACCTCAAGTTGTACCCGGCCGGGAAAAAAGCACCGAAAGCAAGGCCCCTCACTCGCATTTGGGGCCTTCACCTCAGCCTGGCATAGAATGTTGAGACGAGTCCTTCCACAGAACCTTATAAGACATCTTAACTAGTTCATGGTCGGGATAGCATTAGAAATTTTAATGTTTATTCCTGCTTGAGTTTAAGTACCCTTAAACATGTGAACCGTTACCCCGCTATGACAAAGTTAAAGCACCCAAGTAAGCCAGCTTCATGCTTGAACAGCCGAGCGCAGGACTGGGCAAATGTCCGCAGCCATGACGGACACGTCCCAAACAAAGAGGTGCTTTTGCCTTGGTGCAAGCATGAGGGTTGAGGGTTCAGGGTCTCTTCCCGAAAGTTTGCCACTTTCAAGCTGCAACCACCAAGCGCGGAGCCGATCCTACCCACTCGTGCGCGTGATTTTGTGCTTCTGAGTATCATGTCATTGCTGTATGGCTGCACTCTAGACGCGAAACCCTACCAACCTTATGAGCCCAGGCAAGGCATAAACAAACCTGCAAACCCTGTACCCAACTTTCGGCCCTGTAAACCCGACTCTGTAAGGTTTTAGTTTGACCTGGCTCCAAGTCAAGGGTTGACCTAAACCTGAACCCTAAATCCTAAAACTCCACAGTTCAGATGAACTTACTGGTACGGCCTGGAATTCAGGGTTGAAACAGGGATTTGGGGCTTAGAGGGTCTGTTACAAGGTACTTGTAGAGGTTTCAGATGTTTGTTCGCATGCTCGCGCCGCTCACCGCCCCCCAAACCCGCAAGCAAAGCCCAAGCCAACCAGGCCCAACCATCCTGGAACCTAAGGCCCAAAACTCCAAACCCCAAGCCCTCCCTGAACCTGGCTGAACCTTGCAAGCAGTAAGGGTCCAAGCGTCTCGACCTTAAGCTGAAGCGTGGGAGCCGCATGCCGCCTCCACCCCGATGGGGCGAGATCGTCCTGCATTTCGTAGGGTTTAGGGTTTAGGATTTAGGGTTTAGGGTTTAGGGTTCGGTAACCATATTATGACTTTTTTTGGGGGGGGGTTTAGTCAGGGCACCCTGTTTCAGGGTTGCTTATTTTACACGGGAACCTTGAACCAAAGAAAGGGCAAAATGGCACCACTGGGCGACCAGGGGTTGGTGGCACCAAGCCAAGCTTGCGACAGCAAGTGGCCTAGGGTTTAGGGTTTAGGGTTTGGGGTTTGGGGTTTGGGGTTTGGGGTTTGGGGTTTAGGGTTTAGGGTTTAGGGACAGCGGCTGACAAGAAGGTCAGGTATACCAAATAACCAACCACGCGGGCTTCGGAACGAAATGCCAGCAGCTCATGACCCGCAACAGCAACAACAGGAACCTGATGATCGACGTAGCCGGACTGCACGTCATCCAGTAAGGACATTGGCGCACCTTCCCGCCTGAGGCTGAGATTCAAGCTTGAGGATAAAGCCGGGCACTAGCCGAGCAACTCTCTACATTACGGTCCCTTCCCGGTTTGCTGTTATACTACGACCGCCCTATACACTTTGCACAGGACGAGGTTTTTTGAAGAACCCTCTGACCCCTCTCTACAAGCCCTGTAGCCCATAAGCGGCTTCAGACCCTCAGCCCCAATATGAAACCCTAACTCCAGCACGAAGCAGTGCTTGAAATTGCATGGGCAGTAATGAATAGTGTTGTCAGTACCCTAAAAAGACGCTTGGAACCAGTCTTCAGAAAAGTTTCCCTACTTATAACACCAGCTATAGCTACCCATGAATCTCCAAGTACAGCTGTAAGCCTCCAAAACCTGAAGCCCTCAACCCACCTTCAACCAGGTGGAGCCTGGGGGAGCCCAAAGCCTCAAAACCAAACCCGAAGCCTTCATGCCAAAAGTGAAGGGGGGGGGGGGCCTAAACCGTAAACCATAAGCCCAAAACCCTAAACCCTAAACCCTAAACCCTAAACCCTAAACCCGAGCCCTAAACCCTAAACCCTAAACCCTAAGCCCTGAACCCTACAACTGCCCAGCTGCCAGGAGGATCCGAAGAAGCCCGCGGAGCCCAGGAAGTTGGTGATGCCCGAAGCTATGGCAGACCTTGGCGGGATAGGTTCAGGGTTTAGGGTTTAGGGTTTAGGGTTTAGGGTTTAGGGTTTAGGGCTACTTCTACTTGGAGGTTCATGGGTAGATAGAAGTAGGCTTACAATTAGGGTCGCTATACTTATAACCTTAGGTAGGGCACACTCAGAACTCTAGCTATAAGTACCCATGAACCCCCCAAGTAAGGGTCCATGCAACGAACCAGGGAATACTTGGGCCTCAAAGTACTTGCTATATGGGCATTTACGATATTCGGGATACCTTCTTGGGGTCCTTATTCTAAGGGGATCCTATCTAGAGACTCTTGGCACATCGACCCTCAGGGAATATCGAACCTCAACGCTGCAACCCAAATTCCCGAAACTGACCTGCGGGTCCTCAACCCCTGCTCCAGCGAACAAGCCGAATGCAAAGACACAAAGGGCACCGGGGGGGGGGGGGGGCAATTTTTCGGGAGTAGCCTAGAAGGCACCATGTGTTGGAGAACTGGCCATGTAGGTGCAAGTAAGGGTTCGGGCGCGTTTCGGAAACTGGAGTCTTTGCGGCTTCAGAGGGGTTTAAGGCCCAAGGACGCTTCAGGGGCCTGAGGCTTTTACTTCAGCAAAATGTACCTTGAACCCGGATCGTCCTAAACTGCTACCCGCTGCTTTGAACCCTAAACGCTAAACCCTAAACCCCAAACCCTAAACCCTAAACCCTAAACCGCACGGATTCGGCCCTGCCCCGCCCTTGTGAGGCGACGGCATCGACCCAAGAACCGCGGCCACGCGCGCGCCAGGGACCTTGAGATGGTGGATCCACTTGCTTTTGTTTCTCGAGCCGGGGGGGAAACCCTAAACCCTAAACCCCAAACCCTAAACCCTCAACCCTAAACCCAGGAAGGGCCTGAAAGTGTCTGAACCCTAAGCCTAAACCCCACACTTCCCCAGGCTTTGAGTGACCCCGGCGCGTGGGGGACGGAAATGTCGGCCTGACCCAACATAAACCCAAAAATCCTATGAGGCTGCGCGCCCTAAACCCTAAACCCGAAACCCTAAACTTTAAACTTTAAACCCTAAACTGCAAAGATCAACCCTTCTAAGTCTTGGTCCCCAGTCCAAGAGGCCTCTTGGCAACCGGAGCGTTGTTCATTCGGGGACTTTTTGGGTGACCCTTTGATAAGGAGCCCTGTTTTTGGGGTTTAGGGTTCAGGGCTTAGGATTCAGACATGGTCATTAAGAAGTACCTACAAGAAGATACTTTTAACAAAGGGATTGCTCAGAAGAACCCCCCAACCCCCGCCTCCACCTCTTTGCAGTCCGCAAAGGTGTGGCCAGAACACAGCCAGCGAGAACCCTGCGCCACCATCAGCAGAAGGCCTGTGGTCTGGTTCCCTAGAAACTTGGGTTTAGGGTTTAGGTTTTAGGGTTTGGAAGCAACAAAGAACTCAACGCCGAATCCCAAAATGCCGACACCTAACCCTACTTAGAAAACAAGGAACACAATGTACCGCGCTACTGCTTAGCGGTTTCATGGTGGCCGTTTCGTCGAGGTATAGGGCGAAGACCCATCCCAGAGGAGATCTGAAACTACACAGGGCTCGTCTGTTCCCGGACCCCACCCCATCCCCCCATTCAGGTGCCCACATGTACCTGTCCAATATAGGGTCGGAAAAATTACGAATAGTATCCGGGACGGTCCTTACTTAAGTTGCACCATAGTATCCCCCAAAACCCACAACTCTTTCGTTGCTATTGAGGCTTCTTTACCACGCATTCTTCACATCCTCTAATGTATGAGTGTTGAATGATATTCTTGTGAGTATACAAAACATTCTGCTTCACCTTCATCGCACAGACTTCGGTCCGCATACGCCCAAAACCCTATTCTAACTATTCAGGCCCCTATACTATTTACCTCTGTACATTTGCTAGGCCATGCTGGCTCCATAGTGCTCATTGGGCCTCATTGCAGGGACCACTATCTGCTTAAATAAAAACCTTGTAAGGAAGTTTTTTTTTGGGGGGGGGGGCGGGGGGGGGGGAGGCGGGGGGGGGGGGAGGGCGGGGGTGGGGAGGCGGGGGGCGGGGGGGGGGGGGGGGGGGAGGAGGGGGGGGGAGGCAGGGGAGGGGGGGAGGGGGGGGGAGGGGGAAAGGGGGGAGGGGAGGGGGGGAGGGGGGGGAGGGGGGTTTTTGCGTCTCCCAACACTGAACTTACTGGATTCAGGTTTCCGCGTTTGGAGTGTGCTTGGAGATGCAATACCACAACTGGTGATGAGAAGCGCGTTATCAGATTTGAATCGTTCAGTCCATGGTCAGATTGGATTTTAATCGTTCATCTTTGCCAAAGACACTCAAAGGCAATCACATGCAGAACAACCTCAGCATGGCTGTGATGCCATCTGCCTGCTATGGCGAGGATTGCAATGCTGAAGAACCGCAAGCCCATGACCTGGACAGTTGGGTCCCAGAGTTCTAGCAGGTCAGCTAAAGGCCTAGCTTAGTAGGTCCTTCACATGCCAAAACACTGACGACGGACAACCGCCATGATCAAGTTGACAGCACAATGCTCCGCTTAGAACCTTACAAACAATAACATGATAATATCCTCTTGGGTTTTATATCAAGAAAAACTAATTCCCAAGGGAGATATAGAGCAAGGAAGGTCAACTTACTGCATGCTTGCAGCTGACACTACCACTGAACCTGCGCCAAGGGTCTGTGTTCAGGCTGCGCGAGAAAAAGAGCAGGAAGGCATCTTGATGTTTGGGGCACGCAGATTCCCACATCAGCTCGATGCGGACACGCCCTGCGCATTTCGTCGTGGCTAGGCTGATAGGGGTTCGGGTGACGGTTTTGAACCGGTGGTGCCCCCAGCGTCCTAGCAGTATGTCTAAACCCACATGCCCGGTGTGGCAACTGATTTTTTTGGCAGCCTCTCTTGACGATTCCACATCCAGCAATGTCTACAAAAGCCGTGCACACCGGTCTGCCCGCACGGTGCCTATGATGTACTTAAGCACTATCACCCAGCCAGTCAGCTTTTTAGGTTTCTGGGCGACTGTCACGATCACTGCAAGAGGGCAAGGTTTAGGGTTTAGGGTTTAGGGTTTAGGGTTTAGGGTTTAGGGTTTAGGGTAAGTTTCCGAGAACATACCTCCGACTCCTGAGTCCTTTGTCTCGCTTTGCCTTGGCCGACATTGGCCTGCAGCCACTCAACCCTGAATACCTCGCCGGCCTGCACCATAAACCCTCCTTGTTCCTTAAAGCCGCAAGTCTCGAGGCCCTACACCGGGAAAGCCCTACAACAGCCTTCAAAGCCCATAAAACAATGATCCCTCTTTTCTCCTTCGAACTTTTTTTGTTGGGGGGGGGGGGGGGGGGGGGGGGTCTCTTAAGCAAATAGTAGCCCCAAACCCTATTATAAACCCTAAACCCTAAACCCTAAACCTTAAACCCTAAACCCTAAACCCGAAACCCTAAACCCGAAACCCAGTAAAGCTACGCCCCCAAACCGACGCCCATCTTGGCCTTCAGTCTCCGAGGAGCCGGTCGAGCCCATGGGCGGCCCCAAAGACAACTCCTGCGGCGCGGTTTCGGGTTTCGGGTTTCGGGTTTCGGGTTTCGGGTTTCGGGTTTAGGGTTTAGGGTTTAGGGTTTAGGGTTTAGGGTTTAGGGCTACTGAGAGGTGCATGGCAAGTCCATGAGTAGGTACAAGCTTGGGTGTAAGTAGGGCAACTATGTCTGGTTGCAACTTCATTTAGGGTAGTTCTACCCTTACTTGCGACTACCCATGAGCCTCCAAGTATGGGTTTCAGGGGTTGATAGGGCTTCAGAATGGCTCCAGGGCTTAGTGTTGTGGCAGTGCGGGTTCACAAAGCTAGGGTTGCAGGGAAGTCTTCACAAAGCTGTAGGGTAAAAGGCGGCCAAGGTCAGGTACTACCTCAAATTGCTCTTGTGTTCCGACGGGCTTGATTTCAAACAGGATGGTAAGATCCCCAACCCTAAACCCCAAACCCCAAACCCTAAACCCTAAACCCAATCAATCCCCCCTCTCTTCTTGCCTGTCCTATCACCATCGTGACCAGATTCTGTACTGAGGGCTTTCAAGCGCTTAGGGCTCCCCCAACCCCCCCCCCCCCATCCGCGGTGCCCCCCAACCCCAACAAAGACATCTTCTTACCCTAAACCCTAAACCCCAAACCCCAAACCGGTCCTCCACCATCCGCTCTTCGGACTGAACAGAGGCCAGCGGCAGCTCGGCGTAACCCAAAAACCTTAGGCAAAGGGACGGGTGCTTCCGGATTCCTGGGTTGGTCCTGCAGCTTTACAGAGTGTTGACCCTAAAACCTAAACCCTATACCCTAAACCCTAAACCCTAAGGGCATCTAGAGGTTCAGCGCAAGTCTGTAGACGCAATCACAAGAAGCTCAGGAGTCACCTCGGAATAAATTAATAAGGGTGCCCTTTGTGGTGTTAAGGGAATTCTGAGGGATACCCCCCCCAACCCTAAAGAACAACGAAATCAGGGAACCTACTCCGGGTGATCGTCATGCAGCAAAGCGGCTCATCTTGCTTCCTGCCTTGGCCCGCGCCAAAGATGGTCACCTCCAGAACATACTCGGCTTCCCAAGGGCAGGTAGGAAGCGTGAACCAGAACCTGGGCTTAGGGCGGAGCTCAACTGAGTGAGCTCAGCCGGTTCTGCTAAGAACCTGATGCTGAAGTGTAGCTTGATAGTAGCAAAAGCAAGGGGAGCGATGGAGAGCCTCCGACAAGCTTCCAGCTGTCCAAGGGCGAGAGAAGAAAGGGACGTGACGCAAGAAAAATGTGGCTCACTTCCTTCGCTCACTGCTTTGTGCTTACATCTGTTGGGAAGGCTTGCGGGGCTCTCATTAATTCCCAGGTGAGTTCGCGCGGTTCCTTGCTTGTACTTCCATTCTGAAGTCAATATTTCACTACTGATAAAGCTGCGTCGGACATGTTTTACACGGCTCACCGTTCCCGCAAATTTATGGAAAGTGCACGAAAGGATCCTCCGTTCAACTGTTCTTTAAAGACGCTAATAATGGATGAACATACCGGTTGCTGTGCGACCACTTGCCACTTGATTCCTCGTCTTGCGATTCCTCATTCTAAACATGACCATCGTTAACCTTGCAATCGCTCCCTAGTTTCCACCTCTTGGAAATCAACACAAAGAAACCCGCGAAGCATGACCTAAATCGAGTAGAATGTATGATCATGGTAACCCAAAATTCTCGGACCGGCCAGCTACTACTGAACAAACATCTTCTCAAGGAAGCCAAGGTGAAGGAATGTAAATGGACAGTGCGTTAAGATTAAAATCCAATAGAAATGAATTCAAGAGCGAACGAAGAGTTCGCGCATTCACATTACTGTTGGCAGGACACTATCTTCAGGACCCGCCCCAGCCCAGGAAAGAGTGGAGGGGAGGGGGCCTGCCCAAATTCACAATCAACTTGCTCACTCCTCATGGTTAAGGGGGTCAACATCAGACGAGATCATCCTTCAAATTGAAATCAGAACTTTCTTTTATTCTTGTCAATGAGGGGGTGTACTTGTACATTGGGGTCTATGGGTTTCAATCAAGTTTATCAGGTTTCAGGTCCTTGTCAGTCCGGGCTGCTCCTCGCGCCAGCATGGATGCCGGGTCTTTTGCGAGGAATGTGTGCAGCGCTTTCGGCTCTTCTGGTAGCGGTCTCCCACCGCCCGGCGTATGCATAGAATGGCCTTGCGATGGACAAGAGAAGAACCAAACGCTTCGCCCGGTTCACTTTGACAAGAACCCCCCCCCCCCCCCCTCCTCCCCTAAAGCCGCAGATTCCGTATGGGGCTCCGGCGTAAGGATCGTAAGTGGCGCCTTGTCCGAAGATCTGCACCTGGATGGCCCAGGGCCGTCCATGGATGTCCATGGTTCATGGAAGGATCATAAACTAGGGTTTAGGGTTTAGGGTTTAACCTACTATTTGCTTAAGAACCCCAAAAGAATAAAAAATCATAGTCCCTATATTGCCCTGAATAAGGAAGAATGTTTGTTACTTTTTTTGTGGGGGTTCTTAAGCAATGAGTAGTAACCTACATGGGGGCTGTGCGAAATTGGGGCCACTTTCGGGGTTCCGCTCTCAATGCAAAGCCTGACAGGGGCTTTTTAAGTGCAGCTGTAACCCTGCAAACGCAATAATAAAAGGAAAACGAGCGTACCACGGGAGAACCCAGCGCATGGTTTTAAGACGAAAAGCTATAGACCCAACCACCTAAAGGCCCTGCACCTCGGTGATTGTACTCACAATAATCTAGGGGTCGGAACAAATTGCTAGTGTTATTCCCTTAGGGTCCCCATGATGTTCTTCCCTTATGGCCCCTATAAAAAAACACTACAATCGCCCCTATTCTAAGTGTCCTTGTGCTTCGGATCTGCGGTTTGGGGCTGAGGGATCCGGCGATTGAAGCAGCTTCCAACATGATGCAGACATAAAGCCTTTCATCAACACCTACTGAAAGAATGAGGTCCTCCCGGTTCTCTTTTTTTAAACCCTAAACCCGAAACCCGACCTAAAAAACGCTGGTTCCTAGGAAGGAGAGGACTTAGGAAGCTGGGGTTCCTTGAAGCGACGATTAGAGAGTGGACGCCTGAACCCTCACCCTAAACTGTATGGTTCATGGGGGGGGGGAGTTGACATCACCCTAAACCCCAAACCCCAAACCCCAAACCCTAAACCCTAAACCCTAAACCCTAAACCCAACCTGAAGCCCTGAGCCCTAAAACCTCTGCCGGCCTGAAACGGATGGACGTCACGCGCGCCCAGGCAGCGCACACGCAGCCGGCCAGGTGCCTGGTGCCATTGACTACCAATTGCTTAAGAACCCCCCATCCCCCAATTTAGGGTTTAGGGTTTAGGGTTTAGGGTTTAGGGTTTAGGGTTTAGGGTTTAGGGTTTAGGGTTTAGGGTTTGCTTAAGAACCCGCCAAAAATAGAAATATTCTTCCCGAAGGGTAATATAGGGATGCTTGTTTTTCATTTTTGGTGATTCTTAAGCAAATAGTAGTTGAGGGCTTTAGGTTTCGAGGCTTTGAAGGTGGCTTATAAGGAGTGGATGTCGTGGAAGGTTTATGTTGCGGGGGACTATTCTGTTTAATATCTTCAGCTTTGTCCCCCAAGCCCATGGCCTAAACCTGGAGCTAACACACAACGACATGCCTGCAAGCATTGATTTCTGCGTGGCCTATCCATAACCTTCGGAGGCAAATCTAAAGCTCGGTAGCACGCCACCCCCGCTCCCAAAATCGCAAAAAAGAGACCCATACTGTGGCACCCTCAACCTAAACCCTATGGACCCTAAACCCTGAACCCTGAGCCTTAAACCCTAAACCCTAACCTAAACCCTAGCCCTAAGTCCCTGCCAGCAGATGCCAGGAAGATCCTGAACTCATCAAGCCGGCAACTCTGACCCGCGCGGCTCGGGGGGGAAGGCTTTCGTGCGGTTCAGGGTCTGGTGTTTTAGGGGTGACAGGATTTAACTGCTTCCGGGGTTAGGGGTTTGGGGTTTAGGGTTTAGGGTTTGGTGTTTAGGGTTTAGGGTTTAGGGTTTAGGGTGTCTTCAAACTCACGGCCTTCGAGGGAGCTGCGGGCGCCGAGGATCGCCGCGGGGACACCTGCCAAGGCTGTTGGGTTTAGGGTTTAGGGTTTAGGGTTTAGGGTTTAGGGTTTAGGGTTTAGGGTTTAGGGTTTAGGGTTTAGGGTTTAGGGTTTGGCTAGTCGAATTTCGGTTCAATCAAACCCCGAAGCCTAACCGTGAACCCCGAACCCTAATTGAAGCCCCCCATAGACGGTTACCCACAGTAGTAGTTAGTACCCCTTTTGAGTAGGTATACCAGTATAGCCCTTAAAACTGTAGGTAAATAGGATCCCAGGTATGGCTACCACAGCTCCCTGCATCTCGATCTTGGGCCTCCTCCCTGACAAGGGGCTCGCGCAGCCCCCCCTCTTTCGGCATGCTGCCCGGGACTAAGTAGAGCAGAGTCAGGGCACCCGGCTCGGAGCCTACCTAAAATGTGCGCAAATGTGTTCTCCTCAGGGGTCTACCCTTCGCCCCGCAGTGCTTGCGTCGTTTGCAGGCGTAGGCTTTGGAAGCTGATTTCGGCCTTGAGGGCAGTCATAGGCAGACTAGGCCGTACCTTGGTAGAGAGTTTGAGAATCAAGAGCGTCTGGCTGTTGCAGCTTCACGGCTGCGCAGGTCAGAAAGGCTGTGTGGGCTACATGTCGCCTATCACCGTGAAACCCAAGTCACCCCCCGGCAGCTGGAGAAACATACGCCCGAAGCCCAAAACACCATATGAACATGCTGTCAACTGGTGGTCCTCCTTCCTGAGAGGGACATCAAACGGCACATTAAGAAGCCAAAGAAGCTCCCAAAGAGCCCAACACCTCCTACATAAGAAACATACCTTAAAATCATATAGGGATCCTGAATATGATTCAAGGTATGTTCCCTTATTTAAGGGGTATTGGGCTCTCTGGGCTGTGATCCCCAGATATCCCGAGGCATACCTAAACCCTAAACCCTAAACCCTAAACCCTAAACCCTAAACCCTAAACCCTAAACCCTAAACCCTAAACCCGATTCAAGAGGCGGCAGGCTCAGCTGACACTGCGGGGCACTCGAGCACCTCTAAGCCCTATGCCCGCCGGTTGATTTAGGGTTCAGGGTTCAGGGTTCAGGGTTCAGGGTTCAGGGTTCAGGGTTCAGGGTTTAGGGTTTAGGGTTTAGGGTTTAGGGTTTAGGGTTTAGGGTTTAGGGTTTAGCGTGCCTAAACGTTTCCGACAACATATGTCCGCTTGTTGCTGTGCGCTGGTCAAGATCGAAAGGGCTGCTTGCTTTCAAGCTCCCTGCACACGAACCCCTGCCCAAACGTTCTCTCACAGAAGTCCTTCTGCATGCATGTCATCCAGACTCTTTTTGTTTGTGCGTTCGTCCCTGTGACATCCTACGATGCTTCAAACTGACGTAGAAGATCTTACATTGGACTCTTGCCACATCAGATCGCCCACGTTTGGACAGGGACTCGGAATGAAAGGCAGAGACTCTTCTTAGTTGCTGAGTTCATAAGCCCCAAACAAGGTCTACACTTTCAGTTCTATAGGGGGTTATAGTATCCCAAAACGTGTAAAGCCCTAAACCCTAAACCCTAAACCCTAAACCCTAAACCCTAAACCCTAAACCCTAAACCCTAACTCACCCAGCTGCTAAGTCTTCAAACTTTTCTGAGGTGTTCTTGGTGGCGGGAGTCGACTCAAGGCTCCTCTCTGCGCATGTCGTGCACCGCATCAAGGCTCGTCAAGAATACCGTATATACATACATATATATATAATACAAAGATGATATAATGTAGATTGTAAATATAATAAATAAAAAAGTATGTGCATATATATATATATATATATGTAAGAAGTGTATATATATATATATATATATATATATTGTGTAGCAGCATTGTACGACTGCAGATCTGAAACCAGATTGCGTCGACTGCAAGAGCTTCAAAGAGAACTCTGAGGGCCGCATGACTCGGATGGACACAGGGTTTAGGGTTTAGGGTTTAGGGTTTAGGGTTTAGGGTTTAGGGAAAAAACGACTTGACTCGTTCCAGTGTCATGCATGCCCAGAGAGGCAACTGGCAAAGAATTCGGAGTCCGGGAAGCAGGGGAACCCTCACTGCTGCTCTGATGAAACCTAGTTCATGCTTGGGATGGTATTGACAACTTGAATTTCTATTCCTTCTTGAGTTTAAGTACCCTAACCCTAAACCCTAAACCCTAAACCCTAAACCCTAAGCCTAAAATGTTCCCCCACTATGACAAAGAAACAGGGAACAGGCAAATGGTCACCCTGCCTGCTGGCGCGAGTCGACTCGTGCCAGATTGCGTCTCGGGCATTGCCCAAACTTACAGGTGCAGTGCCCAAACTTAGAGGTGCAGTGGTTTAGGGTTTAGCGTTTAGGGTTTAGGGTTAGAGACGCCTGCCATGCTTTCGATCAGCTGCTGCTTCTCAGCGCACTTGTCATTCCTAGACTCTGCTCCTCCCACGTGACTGGTCAAGCATGCAGCTGCTAGGCGGTAGTAATAGGTCTCCTGCCAACGCATACTGTCCGCAACAGGCACTGGATGGCTTGGATGTTCCTTTGAAACTTTACTTGTGGGGGTTTTCGAATATAAAGCCCCCCTGATATAGAACCCCAGATAGTAGGATTCCCTTAGAACAGGTACCCCCATAAGGTACCCTTAATCTCGGAAAACCCCCTTGTAGGCCCAAAGCTGGCAGTTTGCAGTGGACAGTCTGTGCATTAAGGCAATTTTTTTGGCTGGAGGTTACCTTTGCCTCACTGAAACCGGCAAGAGGCTGCCCTTTTACAAGAGTGCCGCTGCCAGTCTCTTCATCAGCTGCGCCTGCACCTTGGGTTTAGGGTTTAGGGTTTAGGGTTTAGGGTTTAGGGTTCTGAATACAAAAAACACAAGATACGATGTCTGGGAGGAGCCCTACATGTACATGTGCACGCGGCGCGCCATTACAAACACAGCCGAGCCCTCAACCCTAAACCCTCAACCCTAAACCCTGAACCCTAAACCCTTTTCAGTATCCCTGGTTGGGTGAAAGCCAAGTGACTTTACATGACGGCACACCAGTTGGATTTGTCCGCGTCCGGCTCCAGGAACGGCCGTACATCGTCGGCCTGCTTGCATACTGAAAAGGGTCTAGGGTTTAGGGTTTAGGGTTTAGGGTTTAGCGTTTAGGGTTTAGGGTTTCGGGTTTCGTTAGGGTTTAGGGACCCCTATAGATACCCTTTAAGGGATTGTATAGGGTACCTCATTCCCTCATTCCCTACTAACCAACAGTAAGCTTTTTGCCATGGTTGAAATAGCATTTACTAAACTCTGCTTAAGAACCACCAAAAACATAAAAAACAAAAAAAAAATATATATATATATATATATATATATATATATATATATATATATAGCCCTTACTGGGGGGAATATAGGGATTATTATTCTACATGTTTTAGGGGTTCTTAAACAAATAGTAGTTGTCATACATGATAGGTAGTCTTCTAGTAGGCGCATGAGTACTTCTGAGCAACAGAAACTCCAAGTTCAATCTCGAGGGTAAGAAGGAAGATGTCAAGAATGAATCTGAAAAAAATGAGCAGTAGGGAAAACACAAACTGTCAACGTCCACGTGTGCTGCACCACAGACATACAATCTGCACTGAATCTGCACCTCCTGTGCTGCAGTCTCTATGTCTTTCGAGCGCACTGTCGCAGGCGATTCCCCGTCGATGACCTGCCGCAAGCAGGCTGCTACGCATTGCTGCGCCTCCCGTTTACGGTTCGGGGGGCCTGTAAAGGACGGCTCGCCACCCACCCACACACACAAGCATTCTGGATTACAAGGAGCTGCATTTGGGGGTTTACGACGATAAGGGACCCCCCCAATATACAGACCCCAATTAGTAGGATCCCCTTTTGTTAAGGTACCCTAATATCGTACACCCTAAACCCTGAACCCTCAACCCTAAACCCGGCTGTAAACCAGCCACTTAATCTAGGGGTCAGAAGAACTGCGAATAGTACTCCCTTATGGCCCCTTTACAACTATACTATAATAACCGCTAACACTCTATTCTAATCATTACGGCCCCTCTAGTAGCCCTAAACCCTAAACCCCAAAAAACCTCGTTTTTAGGGTGGTTCATCCAGGTGTCCCTGAGGGTGCTCGCCTGGTCGAGCTGCGCCTCAGGACAGAAGTCCAGCGATGCCTGAAAGGCAGGACCCTACAAGGGTTTAGGGTTTAGGGTTTAGGGTTTAGCGTTTAGGGATTAGGGCTTAAGCCTAATTAATCCCTTCAGGCTTCTAAACCCCCCCCCCCCTCCCCCAACCCCACCCCTGAAGCTGAAGACCAGCCCCGAAGCCTTCAAACAAAACGTGTGCCAAGGATATTGGGGTGTGAGGGGAAGCGCCGTAAGTCGTGTTGGATTAGGGTTTAGAGTTTCGCGTTTTGGAGGAGCTGAGAAGGGCGGTAACTGCGCAGCGCTACTTTTCGCTCATTTGCTCATGGCTGAGGCCCAAGGGGCCTCCAGGAGCAACAAGCAACCAACAAAAAACAAGGAGATACGATCTCGGTACATATGTAGTAGGTCCTCTCCAGGGTGAGTTTCACAAGGGCTTAGGGTTTAGGATGGTTGAGGGTTTTAGGGCCCCCCCGGTTGAGGGTTGAGGGTTGAGGGCTTAGGGCCCAGGGCTCAGAGGGCTTCGGCTACTTGGTGACGAGGTTCCCTAGGAGTAGCTATTCAATGACACGGTGAGCCAATTTACTTGTTGAACAGGACTGTGGCAGGGAACCGAACCCTCAAACAAGGGCGGGGGCGGGGGGGGGGGGGGGGGGGTTCTGTTTAGGGTTTAGGGTTTAGGGTTTAGGGTTTAGGGTTTAGGGTTTAGGGTTCTGGGCAAGAAGAGGTCTTCCCAACACGTGTGGCGCTCACATTGGGCTTGTTGGCCTGATGAGCATGTGGGGGGTTTAGGATTACGGAAGCCCAAAGTGAAACCCCAACATACCCCGGCATGCCATGAACCCGAAAGACATGAGCCCTGAAAATAAGAAATGCACTATTGGGATTACGGGGCTTACTTGACTATCATGGGTCGTCCTAAGAGGGTTTTAAGTAGGGTAGCCATACTTGTACTTGTAACCTTACTTGGGGCACACATAACCCTACTCTACTATTTCTTAAGATCCCACCCCCAAAAAGATAATTTTCTCTATATTACCTTGATATCAAGAAGAATACTTGTACTTTGCGTGTTTTTTTTTTTTTTTTTTGGGGGGGGGGGGGGGGGGGGGGGGGGGGGGGGGGGGGTTCTAAGCAAAAAGTAGGTTCAACAGCAAAAAGGGGTTACAACCCTGACCTAAAAAACGACGCAATGTACCACCCCACCCCCCCCCCCCCCCCCCGAAACCCTAAACCCTAAACCCTAAACCCTAAACCCTAAGCCCTAAGCCTAAGCCTAAACCCTAAACCCTAAACCCTAAACCCCACCCACCCCCCCCCCCCGCTCACCCCTGCCGCCTCACGCCGCCTTCGCGCTGAGGCTGATGTCGAGGCCTAGATGCGGTCAAGCCACACCTAGACCCCAAATTTGGGGTTTCGGGTTTACAAGGTTTGGGGTTTAAGGGTTTAGGGGTTTAGGGGTGGGGGGTACCTGAGTACCTGAGTCTGAGATTCGAGATATTTCGATCCTGATGCCTTATGCGAAATATGAAAACTGAGTGCACCCCAAAAGACCAGAAAGGAGCATACGCCCGGGGGTCTAGTCACAGAGTCCAAGCCTTCAGGTCAGAGCTATGGCCTACGAGGATGGGATTCGACCCCTTAGAAAACCACGTTTCAGGATTGATTATGGGGGTTATAAGGCCTAAATAGCCCATCCTGGTATGGCATGAGGTTTGGGATGTGGGATATTCTGGTTTAGGGGGTTGGGGGTTTAGGGCCTGTTCAGGCTTCAGGGCTTACAGTAGGACTGTGTGGGATGAAGACGTGTGTGCTCAGGAGAACCGTACTCTTCGATTTCACGCCCCTGCTTAATCAACGGCCCCAGCCGCAACCCATCCGACTCGAGTGCCGCCAGAGGTGTGGCTAACTAAACCACGCAGACGAGTTCCAACGGTTTTTGGGAAATAGGGTTGCTCAATGGGGCGTAACTTGACCCAACAAGGGACAAATGGTAACTATCACTAGGGGCTCTCTCTCAGGTTAGTCAGTCAAGCTTCTGGGGATTGTTCTGCAGCACGAGGATACCCAAGACGTGCCAGTGTTTGGAACCTCCTCCACGTGAATCTCTATGCTACCGCGTCAGTGCCTCCATCCTATAAAGCCGTCAGCTTTGCATTCAAGCATTCGTACACGTTCAGGTTCACCTCCATTGGGGAACCAAGACACCCCCAAGCCAACGTCTGAGGACTCGGCCAAATGGCCATCTGCATCCCTGGCCAGGGCTGCGAAAAACAGAAGCAACTATGAGGTTATGCAGCAGGCAGGGCTACCTTATTCATAACCATGATTAAGATTCAGTACTACAGAAAGGTACCCAGCCTCTTCCCAGTGGAGCGGTTCGGATTTAGGGGCGCGGGTTTAGGGCAGCACCGATAGCCGAGATGTTAACATACCTGAACCCCATCCACTGTGCATCTAAATGGGGCTAAGCCCCATATCGACATGCTTTGAGCTCGCAGGTGGGATTGTCAAAGTTGCCGCCCAGGGTTAAGAATACCTGGCTGCTCCAATCTTATAGTCACCCTCCCACTCCACCCCCGACCCAACCCTAAACTAAACCCTAAAGCCTAAGGCTCCAATGCAGTTCCTTTCTGGGTTAGTTATAAGGAATTCTAGTATACTACCCCAAAAAGGTACTACATAGGAGCCTTAGGATAAACCCTAAACCCTTAACCCCCCAAAAAAAAACAAAACAAGGGCCATGCCATTGGATGTCGGTACCGTCACTGAAATCCTCAAGGCCTGCATCCCAAACCGGCCTTCGCGTCATCATCGGGCCAGAGTCACCTATCACAGCGGTTTAGGGTTTAGGGTTTAGGGTTTAGGGTTTAGGGTTTAGGTTTAGGGTTTAGGGGAATAATTTGTTTTGGTATTCCCTTGCAGCCCCTTGATCATATACTAGAAGAACCCCCCCCCCCCCCCCAGACCCTATTCCAATTATTGAGGCCCCCATATTCATGTGTCTGATGCGCCTACGTCCTCACACCCTGGACCCAAATCCGCGGGATACAAGATACTTGCAATAACCGCAAAGCTCACTTTATTCGGGATGTTTACACAACTCTCGATTTCCCCTTGGACCTAGCGCAATATGCAAGGGCTTGGATTGAATTTGGGGGGTTTACCGTCGAGCCCCTGGCAGGATTCGCACGAGGCACTGCAACATTATGTGGCCCAGGGCGCCAGTCAGACTTGGCACCCCAAGCTCAGTTTTAAGCCGCAGCCTCAACCCTTTACCAAGATGGGCTATGATACCCTATAATCCCTTAAAAGGCCCTTTTTAGGGTTCATTCTGAGAATTTGAAGGCCCCATAGCCCATCCTGGTACACCTGTAACATCCCGAACCCGCACAGGTGGCCAACTGGGCTGCTGGCCAGAACTCGAAGAGTCGACACTGTCTTGCCGGTGCAGTGGAACACCTCCCGGATAGTCGAAGCTATCCACGGGATCGCCAGCCATGCTCGGCGTCTACGTGGGTCAACCGGAAATGTGCATCAAGCGCTAGGTGTTGGCATGGTGTGTGCTATGTCGCGAGCGCAGATGAGTCGTTTTCAAACTATGGCACGTGGAATGTAGAATGATGTGCAGCTCAACATGCATGATGCATACATCTGCAGGCCCAATCTGTACCAGGCGCAATGGGAGCCCGAGTGCTAAGGGGCGAGGGCTGAGGATGTGATGCCGAACCGCTCTAGACCAGGACACACAGGGTGCTGCGTGTGCCGAAAGCTCAAGCGATACAAGGTGCCCGCCCTAAGGGGCCCCACGCGGGCAAAAGGCGAGTCACGCCAAGTAGACGCCCCTGAAATCAAAAGGCAACCCATGCATGGCTAATCCCCAGGGAGACGCCCTTGCCAGGCTACTTTTGCAACATGGCAAAAAACAAGGAAGATGCACGCGAGACCTAGCGCAGAGTACCGGTTCCATACGATTTCGGACGAGGACGCATTCTGAAATCCCAATGTGACGCCTTGCCAGACTACATACTGGAGAACTGCCTTGTTACACCGTAAGAGCCCTCAAAACAACCTTTGCATAGCAACAATCTTGCTGCCGGGTAATTTCAAGAGGAAGGTCTCCCCTGGTGCCCATCCCCAGCTTCCGACTCGCCCGACTGCCTGTATAGTGTGTGTGTGTGTTTCAATGATTTAGACTGAACATGCGGATGGACAGCTATAGTTTTATCTGCGGTCTGCGCGCTTCGGAGATATCGCATTAGCACCAATAAGTCTAATCTACTCAGCCGAATCCTGAGGTCTGATCTGAGGACAAAAGTACACAAGGTAACAGCGGATAAGCCGGGAGTACTTGCTTCCCAACAGCACCAAAGTCCTGAATCCCCGCGAACCCTGTACCCAAACGACATTTATTCCTCAGACAACATGGGGACCTAGGACCTCGACGGCCACGTTGGGCCGTCGGCTTTGCGGCTGATTTCTCTGGCCTCTTAACTATTGGCAGCTTCACGGCTACCTGTAACATTGCTGTCTCCCTCCAGTGACTGACAATTTTGGCTCTGGCTCGTGCACCCTAATCCCCAAACCCTAAACGGTAAACCCTAAACGGTAAACCCTAAACCCTAAACACTAAACCCTAAGCCCTAAAATACCCTAAACCCTAAGCACTTCTCCGAGGGAAACTCCACTGCCCTAGTGTCTCAGCAAGTCCAGGATTGCATCTGTGGACCTCGGCCATGACGATCAACAGTGTTTAGGGTTTAGGGTTTAGGGTTTAGGGTTTAGGGTCCAGAATCATTCCGCGCAGCCCTTTGAAAAAAAAAACTTCTCTTCAGCTTGAGGGTCTTAGGGGGTTTAGGGTTTAGGGCAACTTGGAGGTTCTTGGGCAGTTGTAAATGGGGTTATAAGTAGGGTACGTGTCGTTTTGGTGGCTACAACCATTTTCAGGGCACAGAAATATGTTAGCCCGACTTATACCTACCCATGAACCTCCACCTGGCCAAAGGGCACTTAACTGTTGAAGTTGTAGCTTCCTAAACCCTAAAACCTAAACCCTAAACCCCTGGTGTTTGCAGTAACAAGCAGCGCATTCACAGAGTCTCGCAAACGCTCTTCCACCACGCCTGGAGCACTACCAGGCTAACCCTGCGGCTCTCACACGGTTTAGGGTTTAGGGTTTAGGGTTTGGGGTTGTCAGACCCTTTTGAAAACTTCGGCCTCAGCGCTCAACAGGCTAAACTCCCCAAACAGGCATGGATATCCTTGGCAGCAAGGTTCACGCCCCAGAGTTCCCCTCTAAGCAGGGAGCAGCAAGACCCTCAGGATACCCTCACCAGGAAACTTTAGACATGAACCCTCGGGACCTCGCAATACGAACCTATACGCCCCTTTGAACCTTAAAAAATCATCCCGAGGTTGATATGAAGTAGGGTATATATTTTCTTGTACCCCCAAAAGGACACCAGGTATATACACTCACCAATATTGAAAAGGAACCTTATATACACTCACCAAAAACAGAAATATAAACCCTGCTTCATATGGGAGCTGGTCTGAGGACGCTGTTCTCGAGGCTTGGATTCACTTCTCAGACTCGTTCACAGCCCGTTTGATTGCCAGCCCAAGCCAACTCATCGCAGAGAAACGATGAACCTAAATCAAGTGCCCCAGCTTTTCCACATTTTCCTGCTAAGCTTATTGATTTCAAGAACGACTGGCAGAGTGAATGTAGACAGGCAAATGGGGTTTAGGGTTTGGGGTTTAGGCAACAAAAAGTTCGTTGAAAATTGTCCAAACTCATCATTACAAATCAACCAATTTTTTGCCGCGTTTTCATTCTGTTGATATACTCGTCTTCGCGTCCTGAAGATGCAAAACCGCAACCCTGGATTTAGGTTTAGGATTTAGGGTTTAGGTTTTAGGGTTTAGGGATTAGGGTCCTACCCTGCACTTTAGCACCTCAAGAGCCGTTCGCCCTTAAAGAATGCAGAGGCCACCACAGGTCATGGCCCAATCGCACAAGGGAGCTCGTCAGCTGTGGCGTGAGCCACATGTAGCCTGACAAAACTACCAATTTAGGGTTTAGGGTTTAGGGTTCAGGGTTTAGAATTTAGGGTTTGCTTAAGAACCCCCCCCCCCCCAAAGAAGAAAAACAAACAACTATTCTTCCTTATAAGGGTAATATCGGAATGACTATTTTTTTATATGTTTTTTGGGGTTCTTAAGCAAATAGTAGAAAAGGGACTCCCGAAGGGAGGCTGTGGTTCAGGTGCCATGCTTGGGGTGTGCCCCCCTTATGCTAACCGTCCTTAAATAGGGATTATTAATAAGGGGGGGGGGGGGTACCTTATAATCCCTATTAAGGACTGTTAGTATAAGGCGCAACATCCCAAAACCATGCCCTGATCCAATGTTAGCAAGGAGCTTTCTAGCTGCTTTGACCAGTTGTGAGCAGACGGCATGAGGAGACGAGGCTTTTTTTCATACACAAACTTGGGAGGCCTCTTACTGTAGTTGTTCTTTCCTTGGAGAACAGCTGGACGTCTGCCTGGCACGCCCTACAGCCAACAAAGATAACAAAGGACTAAGAACAATGGTGTTTGGCGGGTGTTCAATGGCAAGAACAGGTCGAACGGCCGTAGTTTAGGTTGGCTACTGCATCCTTGCCTAAACCCTGGGGAAGTTGCCGACACAACTGCAACCACAGGTATTCCTCTTACTCTGCATCCGACGACTTCTGCAAATTCTACTGTCGGTTTGAAGCGCACGTTCGACGCTCCTACTTTTTCTTCATTTCTTGTTAGAGCTAGAGCAAGAAGCCAACCGTCACCCCGTTTTGGTAGCTTGTGTCTTCACACCCTAATCCTCTACCCCATCCTCTACTCCACCCTCCAAAGCCTGACACCTGCACGGCCAGGCCTGTAAACGACAAGTGCGGAAACTTGCGGCCACAGTTGGCCCTGGCGCCATAGAGGTGGGCATGTCCGACGGGCCCAGGAACAACTTGAACTCGAGAGTTTCAATCTATAGTTTGGCCTCGGGTTGTGGGTGGTAGCAGCACGTAAACTCAGCGACACGAAGCTTCGAGATCTAGAGCCAAGCGAAAGCCCACTGAAATCGCTCGCGGAGGCACGCCCCAAAAGCCAATCAATTCCGCGCTGATTCTAACTAGAAGTCCCTGTTGGTACCCCCAAGCAATAAGTAAGTATACACGATTCCGATTCCAGAGACCAAAACATGTCCCATTGTTCAGATCAATCCCGTCTGGGCCTTCAAAGCTCTCCTGGGTACGTGCGGCAAAAGAGCACCCCTTAAAAAATGAACACAGTCACCATAGTTGTACTTGAGGATGATGGCTACCGAGGAAGTATATACTTTAATCGGAGGTTTTGTAACACTAAGTCCTAAACCCTAAACCCTAAACCCTAAACCCCAAACCCTAAACCCTAAACCCTAATGACAACGTGTGGCCGGTGCACACGGAGTGGCAGCAGTCGCAGCAGCCGTAACCACCCAGATCCTCCTGCACGCAGCCGTCCATCTCCTCTCGCGCGCTCGCGGGGTTTAGGGTTTAGGGTTTCGGGCTTAAGGTTTAGGGTTTAGGGTATAGTCTAGGGTTTAGGGCTACCTGAAGGTTCATGGGTACTTGTAAGTAGGGCTACAAGTACCCTAAATAAGGCTATAAGCAGTTATAATCATAGCATGTTTATGCCAGCGTCACGTGTACAGTGAACCGTTTTACAAGGACTTTCCATGCAAAGCCTTTTGGCGGGCTTGGGGCAACTACGATTCTACTACTCCTAAGGTCCCAAAACTAAACCCACACCTCCAGGGTTTAGGGTTTAGGGTTTAGGGTTAAGGGTTTAGGGGTCCTAAAACCCGAAACCCGAAAGCCCACACGCGACGGGCAGCACAAGGTCCCAAACCCCGGAACCCTGAAACCCAAACCCGAAGAGCAGCCCAGGGCCCCAAAAGCCTGAACCCTAAAACCCAGACCCAAAAAACGAAGAGCGGCAGGGTTAGGGTTTAGGGTTTAGGGTTTGGGGTTTGGGGTGCAGGGTTTAGGGTTTAGGGTGCAAGGTCCCAAATCCCTGAACCTTAGAACTCCAAACCCAAACCAGAACAGCTGAGTCAAGCTTCAAGCCCAGAGCAGACCGTTGCTTCCGGAGTTACTTGCCCCAAAACCAAACGAGACAGTGGCCTGCAGAGATTAGGATTCCGGATTCCAAACTCAGGGTTTGTTCGAGCTTTGGGCTTCTTGCGCTTCCCTTGCGGGGAAAGTGTACGCTCCACCCCGGCCCCAAACCGCCCGCCGTCCATTCCTTGGAGTATACATTTAAAAGTATCAAAGTTTACCGCCTCCCATGCGAAACGCAAAACACGCCTGTGATTCGCGTGTGCTTTTATAAAAGCCCAAAATAAGCACGCCGCCACAACGCCAGCTGCCTTTCTCTAAAAAACTTGGTTGATCTTTAACCCCGAAATAAAAGTTCAACTTTTAGC